GACGGGTTTGCTGTAAAATGGAGGCTGATGGAGGAGAGGAGGATGCGGCCATGGCGGATCATACAGGGGGGGGGGGTTCTGGGGTCGGGGGGGGGGGGGGGTCGGGTTCTCGGGGGGGGTATCCGTTAGAAATCGTCGTTTTCTGGGTGCTGGTGTCCATCTGAGCTGTTGATCCAAAAGATACCCCCCACAAGGTCACAATAACCGGCCTGAGAGGAGGGAGAGGGCTTGTGTTTGTGAGGCTGGATGTGATGTTTTTGTGGGTTCAACAGAAGCTGACGCCCACTTTTCCTCTAATAAGAAGAAGCAGCTAAATTCTGAAACCTTAATGGTGATTAATGAGAGAACGGAGGTTTATGATGGCGTTTCAGGGGTTGGCAGCTCAGATGGGATCCCTAAAGGATCCCAACACCTACCAGAACATCCCAAAAGATCCCCAAAGATCCTAAAATATCCCAAAACATCCCAGACATCCAAGAACATCCTAAAATATTCCAAAATATCCCAAAACATCCCACATCCCAGAACATCCCAGAACATCCCAAAACATCCCAAACACCCTAAACATCCCAAAATATCCCAAACATCCCAAAACATCCCAAAAATATCCTAAAACATCCCAAACATCCCAAAACATCCCAGACCATCCAAATTATTCCAAACATCCTAAAACATCCCAAAACATCCTAAATTATTCCAAACATCCTAAAACATCCCAAATAATTCCACATCCCAAAGATCCCAAACATTCCAACGCATCCCAGAACATCCCAAAACATCCCAAACATCCATAAACATCCCAAAAAATTCCAAACATCCTAAAATATCCCAAACATCCCAGAAAACCCCAAGACATCCCAAAAGAACCTAAACATCCCAGAACAGCCCAAAACATCAAATACATCCTAAAACATCCTGAAACATCCTTGTTTTTGCTGTATTTTGGGTCAATTTAAGCCTTATTTTTGCATATCTTTGGTCATTTTAAGCTTTGCTTTTGATTTTTTGGCTTTGTTTTGGTCTTTTTTAGCTCTATTTTGCTGTATTTTTGCCATCTTTGTTGTCTGTTTGGTGATTTGAACCTTGTTTTGGCTTTTTTGGGTGTATTTTTTGGTCGCTTTTCATTTTGTAGTTCGGTCATAGTTAACCAATAGTTAGCATGACATTAACCTACGGTTAGTGTGTGTTAGCATGTTGTTAGCTCATGGTTAATGTAGTCTACAGTTAGCACATACTCTGCCCCTGCTGGTTCCTGTGTTGTTAGTGTGCATTTCACATGTAGTTAGTATATGGTTAGCGTGTGGTTAGCATGTGGTTAGCATGTTGTTAGCTCATAGTTAATGTAGTCTACAGTTAGCACATACTGTACCCCTGCTAGTTCCTGTGTTGTTCATTTCACATGTAGTTAGCATGTGGTTTGCATGTGGTTAGCATGTGGTTAGCATGTGGTTAGCATGTTTTATCCTGTTCTGATCTGTCCTGATTGTTTGTAAATACCAGGTTAGGATCATTGCTACTTTTTTTACCATAAAATAATCGTTTATAGTTGTTTTTTTTTGTTTTTTTGTGCTAATTTCCTTTTAATATTTAAAAACGAGCATTTGTATTTGCATTCTACGTAATGAGGACGGTTAGCTAAACATGTTAGCTAAAATTTGACAGTTTTTTGGGTGATTTGACCTTAAGACCCACAGAATGAAGGGTCAGAGGAATGGAAAAGGTTTAGGCTAACACAGACTGGTTAAATGAATACATTTCCTTTCAAGATGTAAAAATGAGCATTTGTATTAGCATTCTAGGTAATGAGGACGGTTAGCTAAACATGTTAGCTAAAATTTGACTGTTTTTTGGGTGATTTGACCTTAAGACCCACAGAATGAAGGGTCAGAGGGATGGAAAAGGTTTAGGCTAACACAAACTGGTTAAATGAATAAATTTCCTTTCAAGATGTAAAAATGAGCATTTGTATTTGCATTCTAGGTAATGAGGACGGTTAGCTAAACATGTTAGCTAAAATTTGACAGTTTTTTGGGTGATTTGACCTTAAAACATTTGGGTGGAGACCCACAAAATGAAGGGACAGAGGGATGGAAAAGGTTTAGGCTAACACAAACTGG